TGCCGTTATTATTCATATGGTATTCCTAATTATCTGCTATAAAGTTGATAACTTTTGCAGCCAGATATTCTGTCAGGACTGGACTTTTGGACTGAGTCCAGTAGAAGAAACTCACCTGTCCATTTCTGACTGAAAGCTTCCATGTGATGCACACCTGAAAAGAAACGATTTTTTAAAGAAAACCACAAGAGGGCACTAATGAGATGAAAACATATCTGACAAATGCTCAACCCTTTAAAAAAAGTTAGGACAAAAAAACAAGAGACAACCCAATGAATTAATTAATTAGCACTTGGCAGGATTAACTACAAGTAGTCCTCGCTTAACAACCATGTGTTCAGCGACTATTCAAAAGTATGTGTTTACAGTACAGGACATTTACAGCATTCCCCCACAAAGAAGAAGAGAGAATCTTGTCCTTGGGGGCTGGCTGGCAACACTCCATGCTGCAAATACTCCATGCCAAAATCCTGCTTGGATTTCAGGGTGGATGCTCAATGACCACTTTGCTCCACACCCAAAGATTCTGGTCTCAGTTGTGTTTGTAAGTTGAGGACTACCTGTGTTTTATTTGTATAAACTCACATGTATCTTCCCCAAAACCCATATTTGTGCAAACAGGGAGAGTTATATAAAGGCTCCAAACAAAATCAACATGTGTAAATAAACTAGAAGCAGGGATTTCCCGTATTTATCTTCCCATACAATTTGTTGGCAAAACACCCAAGTGGAAGATCAAGGAGTCTCTATATGGATAGCCAAGAAAACAAACAAATGGATTGTTATTATTAGGAATTGTATTTGCACTGTGCGAAACAAAGGCCGATTCCACTGCCCTGATGCCCTCACTAAAGCATATGTAAACATACCTGTAACTTAAGATTTCTCTGATATTTGACAACCAGTAGCTGTAGAGAGACAGATGGAATCAACTGTAAAATCATGTTTACTTGAATGAATATAGTAAGTATTACTTCATAAGATCTTTGATGTATTTTCTACACAGGAATGGAATTAATGTTGTGCCAATCTGTGCCTAACCCTAAACCTTTTTTGCAACTTTTCTTGATTTTAAGTCAGCTTTTCATCTGTCCCCAAGAAGATTATGGGACCAATCATCCAGGTCATTGTTGTTCCAAAGATGCTTTTTTCAAAAGGAAACTGGACTTGGGTTTTTTTTCTTTAAAAATGCTTTACTTTTCACCCAATAACTTCTTCAATTCATTGAAGAACTGAAGAAGCTTCTTGGATAAGAAGAGAAATATTTTTAAAAGGGAAAAAAACCCCAAGAAGTCCAGTTGCCTTTTGGAAAAAATACCTTTAATAGACTATGGGATGATCTGAGGCAATAGTCTGTTTACTATTGATGAAAAGACTGCTACTACTTATTCAGTCATCCCAAAGGTACTTTTACAAGAGGCAACTGAACCTTGTTTTTCTTTTTCTTTTGAAGACATTTCGCTTCTCATCCAGGAAGTTTCTTCAGCTTTGACAAAATGGAAGGGAATGGAAGGATTTATATCCCTTGAAGACAGTTGGTTATTTGCATTCTTTTAGAGCAGGGATGTCAAACTTGCATTGTCACGGAGTCGTCATGTAATGTATGACAACTTTTTTCCCCGTCACTAAACTGGGCATGGTGTGGCCAGCACATGACGGGCCATGAGTTTGACAGCCTTGTTTTAGAGAGTCGTTGAGGCCACTTGGAGGTTTATCTGTGACCTGAATAGTGCAAATGGGTGTGGAGCCTTCATGGCTGCAGGATGTTTTTTCCCGTGTCCCTTCACTGTTGCAGACAGGCACAGGCTGTTGGAGATGAGCTGTTGTTGTCTGCATCTCAAACTGAAGTGCAAATGGCTCATGTAAGTTTCAATTTTTCTCAAAATCCATTCATATTCCCGTACCATTTGAAGGGAGTTCATCCCAAAGTGCATAGCTAAAAGTCTATGGAGATTCTCAGTCATCCAGGTTATTGTTATCCCAAAGGAGGAAACTGGGCTTTTTTTTTTTTTTTTCCTTTTTAAGAAGTTTCACTTCTCATCCAAGAAATTTCTTCAGTTCTGACAGGATGGTGGACAATGGAAGGATTTATATTCCTTGCAGACAGCTGGCCATTCCCCACCATCCAAATGAAAAAGTGTTACTGCTTAGGAATGTGCAAATAAATTCTGAATTCTTCTGATGATGTTGACGTGTTGGGGAAATAATTATAACAAGTTGAACTTATGGTTTTCCTCTGCTCAGAAATAGCATTCCAAAGTTTAAAATAGACTGTAGCATTTGGAATGGATGCTAATTTTTGCTCTACAATGAAACGTATCATTGTAACCTATTTCTTTTATATGCATTAATTTCATATCCAGTTGGTGGGTCTTCAGATAGAACTGAGGGAGGTTCCTGGAAAATTATATTCAAAATAAACAATGTTAGAATAAATAGCCTAGTAATATATTTAGTGTAAAGAAGAATGCTGCATTTTTGTATACCTTAGCCTTAATAATATAATATTATTCTAATAATATGCTGATACATTATGGATCAACATCATGTAAAGCACACTCAGATTTGAACATGACTATTTAATTCCTCCTTTCCTATGCATGGCTGCATAGGGAATGAAAGTTTTATTTTGCATTTTAAGTACAAATATTAATATACATAGTTTATTTAAGGTGTGGATGTAACATTAGTTTCTGGTTAAAAGAATGCAATTGAAAACTGGTGATGTCTTCAATTTAGTCATCGTGAAGGACTGGGGAACTCATTCATATAACATTAAATCATGGTACATTCCAGGCTTTCTGAACATAGTAACCTCTCAGTTGTTTTAGGAGAGCAACTGCCAGAAATTCCCAGTCACAACGGTCTGGGGTGTGCCTTATATCTATTTTTATTTGTGAGTCTATACCCAGCTTTCCATTCAGAAACTCGAGGGTACATACACTGTGCTCCTTTCCCCCATTTTACCACTATAACAACCCTGTGAGGTAGGTTTAACCTGAAGTAGTCCAAAGACACCCAGGGACTTATAAATCAAGACTGACTCAATGGTGTACGTGGTGTGTCTGGCATTTACCTCAGGAAAACAGTTTAAGGGCGGCTAAGCTTCCTCTTCCTTCTCAAGTTATAAACCACACATTCCTCTATAGAGCAAAGTTTCTCAATCCTGCCAACTTTTAAGACTTCAACTCCCAGAATTTCCTCCTCTCTTTGCTAGCTACATCTTTGCTAGCTAGCTACCCAGTAGGCGTTAGTATGATAGACAGTTAAATATGCAAATGTGGAGGCACGTGCCAAAGACAAATCTAAGTCCTTCAAATATTTAGGAAAAGGAATGATATCTAGAATTTGGTTGATATAAAAGTAACAAAAATAATATATTGAAATAAGATAATAATGAAAAATTATACCTTAATAAAACAACTGTACTATTATTAGAGTTATATAACTTGTCCAATGTAAATATGATGAATACTATTTTATTTGTAATAAATAAATTGTAAAATGTGAGTAGAAAGGGGATATTTTTTAAATATAATAGTGGCATAGTTAAAAATCAGAAAGGGGATAAATAATGGAAGATTATAACCCAATATAAATTGGTGAATTTTTATTAGAATTATATAAGTCTGTTAAACACGACAAATATGTGTAATAATATTTGCAGTTAAAAGAGGGATATTCAGAATATGGAGATTGACACAAAAATAAGATTGATATGGTAAATAATCAAAGAATGAAAGACTACAATTTAACAAAATATGTATCAATATTAAGATTGTCAACTGTATTAAATATGAAGAATATTGTCATATTTGTTCTAAAACGTAAGACACTCTGGTGCCATACTGTTCACACAATTATGTTTGTAAAAAACAAGAAAAAAAATAAAATTTTTGTTTGATTAGCATTTATTGATATGGTTGCTACGGTGATTCTAAGAGATTAAAAAGTAACAACTGTTGCTAAAATGCCCTGAAGGTCGCCTCCCCCCAAAAAAACAATTTAATTTGATATATTTCAGAATCATTTTTTAAAAGTTTGGTAAAAACCTTACTACGTCTTTTGCCTAAACTCTTTGTCCTGCCTCACCGAAATATGTGGTTACTCTGACTAAATTTATATGCAAAAAACTATAATACACAATCTTTATACTGCTAAAATTCTAGAGTCTCTTCCTCTACTGCTACAAGGTGTCAATAATACAATTGAATAAATATTCCATCTCTGCTTTTATCTTTCTTTTAAATTTCCACAGAAGTATAGGTCCTTCCTTCTGCATAGCAGCATGAAGTTTTTCAATCTTTATACTTAACTACTTCTAAATTGACAAAAATGCATTAGAGCGTGATTAGCAAGAATTCCCTGTAACCTTGACCAAAATATGAAACATTATCCACTGGGAACTTGAGTACAAGCTCTGCTAAAATAATTGACTCATTTCAGGGAAGTTTGAGCAGAAGGTGTTCTCAATTTAACCATACATGCCTGTCGTAGGTAATATTACTAAAGCCTGAAAGCACTGTGATGCTATAAGAAAATCTATAGATCTCAAGCTGATAAATTAATTAGGGGTAAAAAATACAGATATACTCATAGCAATATTATTGGTTTAAGAACAGGCATTAAGTATAATTAAGCCAATGTTGTTATTTTTCTATAAACTTACATTAGCTAGTTCTCTCCCATATATTTTCTTTAAAAAATAAAACTTTTAAACCCTTCAGGCCTATTTAATTTCTAAAAAATTTCTGTCTTAAGTAATTAAGATTTCTTTATTTTACATTTTTTATTTTTATTTTCATTATATATATCCTAGCTTTATTATTTTCACAAACAGCTCAAGCTAGTGAACAACAAACAACTCTGTGCAGTGGAGGCAGGACTCTGTCACTTTCTAGTCTTGTGCCTTAACCACTAGACCAAACTGGCTCTCATACTTACAAGTTGCTATATTTTTACTTAGTTGTCTTTTTCTTGCTCTCTTTTCCCATATCTGATTTCTGCCCTTTCCTTTCTAGGCAACAGTTGCTGGAGATAAAAAACATTTTTGGAAAGACTATAACCATGGGGTTACATCTTAACCATTTAAGATCCACTCTGTACAAGCCAAACCTAACATGCTTATTTAGAAATACTTTAAAAGAAGTACACATTAGACTGCAGAATTAAAAAGACCACTATTTGCAGATAAAAAGCAAAACATACAAAAATCGATAAATATCAAAATCATAGAGACATCACATTGCAAATCTCAACTGCACCTTCTATCTGCAAAACATTATTGTACAGACTTCTTGCCAGCTTCTGCTTTTAAATATACCACTCTCTCCAACTACATTATTTTAAATATTTGCTTAAGAATTCTGTGAGAGACAGAAGTCTCATCCACCCCAAATGATACTTCGCTTGTCAAGACCACTGAACAAATATATAATTCAACACATTCATCTCACAAGCACCTTATTACTCTCAGTCATAGTTGATATTCAATCCTAGTATTTTCTTTTCCATCAAAGCCTCATAGCCCAAATAAACAAGCCCACAGAGAAATACTTACAGACTTGAGGCTGGCAACATTAGGAGTTGCATTTCTCAGAAAAGGGCATAAGGCATCTTTCACTGCTGCAGTTCTTCACTGCCTATAGGGAATAACAGTGATAAAGGGAAAATAAGACTAATAAATATAGAGAAGTCAAATTCTATTCACAAATAAATTTAGAATTTCTTCTCTGTATTTACAGAAAAGTTTCATCAAAACCACAGATGCTGCAATAAAGGAATCAAGGTCATAGACCTGGACTTTTGTTACTTACTGGCCAGAGAGAATAAACACTCCTATATTTGTTAAAATATAACCTATTCCATCATTGTGAAGCAAAAACTTGGATCTAATAATTCCAGCCTTGTAGCCCTTCTGCTTCAAAATATGAACAAGGGAGGCCCTGGACAACCCTTCACGTTGCTAGATTTTTAAAAATCACATGTTATAAAGCAAAATGTAACCAGAGAAGATAATAGAGATGATTTGCGTAAGATAGTGAGATGCAAGTTATCAGGCATAGAAGTATAGATTGCAACAGAAGAACAGTAAGAGAAAATGGAAATGTCAACTGAATTTTTGAGTTAATCTTTCTGGGAACTACTCACATCCATTACTTTTTAACATTAGAACAAGAAAGGTTAATTAATTCAGACTTGTTTAGACATAGTAGTTAATTTCTAGAAGGTGCAGCAGCTCAGGCCTAAAAACCAAATTCCCTTGGGGGAACCTAGTGATAGCAAATCAGTGGGTGATGGAAAGATACTACAGGGATGTCGCAGTTTAAAACAAGTTTAGGGTTAAGCCTGCAATTGTAGGCACATAGTCAGGTCTCTTATTGTATTGAAATCTGAGTAAATATACCTAGGATCAGTCAGCATTTCAGGGTTTTTTTCTGTAACATGTCGAGACTTTATGTCCTTTCTCTTATAGTTAACCGAACATGGCCAGTAAGTGACAAAAGTCACTTTGCATTGCTGCATCTTTGTTATATTGCTTTCACTTTGTTCCTATCCATGAATGAGGGAAATTAACTGTACAGGTGATTAAGTAATATATTTCCACCAGTGGTGGGATTCAAACTTTTTTTACTACTGTTTCTATGGGCGTGGCTTGGTGAGTGTGACAGGGAAAGGATACTGTAAAATCTCCAGAGATGGTATTCACCAGTTCTGCAAACTACTCAACATTTCCGCTACCGGTTCTCCAGAACTGGTAAGAACCTGCTGAATACCACCTCTGATTTCCACTCATTCTAACATCTAGGACTGTCTCAAGGTATATAAAACTTGCCTAGTTCCTTACAGGAAATTAGGTGATTGGCAGTGATTTTAATCAGAGGCAACAGAGGCTAGATATCTTTATGGGGATAGTAGTTTTTAATGATTATTGTATACAGCCCTTTGCGGATTCGAGAATGGGTGATTAGCACTTCATCTTAATTCTGGGGAAAGTGTGATATAGAAGAAAAAAAAAGATACTGAGACATAATGATACTTATTTCACTCCAATCATGCATTTGCTAGGAAGCTAGGATAGGCTAATGGTAAAAATGTATTGCAAAGGCAAAATATATGGGAAACATGAAGAGCTTGGCTTCTGGAATTCTTTCCAAGGCCTTAAGTTACAGGGAAGGGAGCGGGCTTAGAATGAAGAGCCAACAGCATTCTGAGCCACTGCCCAACTATTTCTTCTATTGGGATACATTGTGGATTTGCAATTCTTGTCCAGATCCATCACCTATTCAAACTCACAGTTCTTCTATTGGAATTTCCTGCCAACCCAGTTTTGTTTTCCAAGAATTATCCTGTTGATAAACAAAGTCCCAAGTCTCTTTACGTAATCTCTTTCCTGGATTTTGCTGGATTGGAAACAACAACAAGGTAAGGAACCCATGTAGAACATGACTTCCGGAATTCTTCCCAACCCCTGAACATTCACTCTGGGTCATGTGACCAGGAAGGAGGCGGGGAAAGGATCTTAAGATGGAACAACCAGCAAAAGTCTAAATTCATGTCCTCTCTCAAAGGAATACTTTAGGAAATTTTCATATATATTTTTTCTCCGCAGACTCCAAGCACATCTGGCTGTTTTCAAATTCACTCTTTTCTTTTCCAGCTTTTTTTCACCTTCACCAATTTTGGTCCCATCCGTTCTGCTTTTGGAAAGTTTCTGCTGATAAACACACCAATAGGTGGACAGTGTGTTCTGAGATACTTTCCTTCCAATACTTCATTGGATCGGACAGAATAAAAATGCCAAGAATTGGGAAGTGACTCATACCGGTGACATCCACAGAGTCCTCTTATACATTCAGGAGTTGTGCGGATAAATTACTTTTGGGAAGAGGCAGAATTTCAAAGTCCTATTAATCCTGGCTTGTTAAGATCACTTCAAGAAGCCAGGATGCTCCAGGTCTTAGGCCCTCTCAGTTACTTTAAAAAGCAGTGCTCTGTGTTTTGGCAGATGCAAATGTTAAGCAAGGGGGAAATGTTGGAGTCAGGGAACTTTTCCCAACATCCTTTTAAAAAAAAAAGACAAGCATGACAGCTAGGAGGGCAGGACCTTCTGTGCAACGCAAAAGAAGACCAAGCAGCATAACCCTCCACCCCTTTTCCCCAAGATGATGGTGCCTTTTTGGCACACTCTAGGGCAGCCTTGGTGAATCTTTTCGACAATGAGTGCTGAAACGGGAGTGCACGCGCACACACTCAGGAGTGCCATAAACCAGAGGAAGTTGAGCTTCCGGTTTCCGGTCAGCGCATGTACACTGGGCACCTGGTCTTCCGGTTTCTGGCACACATGCACACTCAAAGACAGCTGGCCGGTGTGCATGTGTGCGCCAGAAACTGGAAGCTCACCTTCCCAGCATGCACATGCACACCGGGGAGCTACTCTTCTGGTTTCCAGTGCTCCCGTGCACGCAAAACCCAACTGACCAGTGCACATGCACGCTCCAGAACGCAGGAAAGCAATGGGCGACGGCTGGCGTGGCCGGAGAGATAGCTCTGCATGCCACTTCCGGCACCTGTGTTATAGGTTCGCCATCACAGCTCTAGGGAAAGCCATGCTGGCTGGGAACCCGAGGGATCTGCAGATCCATAGATCCAGAAAGCTCCAAGGGAGAAAAAAGGGTTTTGATCACACCCAGAGAACCGCCAGGTGCAGCTGCTTTATTGGGTGGGAAACCAGGCTAAGCCATTCCACACTTTAACAGCTCAAAACCGAAAGGAGCGAGCGCGGGCTTAGAGGAAAGAAAGAGGCCGAGATCCATTTTGGAGGACAAGGCAGCCCGGACCGAGCAACCGGACTCGCCCGCCAGGCACTTCGACCACAGCAGGCGCGCGGAGGCCAGCCCCAAGCAGCGAGGGAGGCGCTCGCCTCCAGCGCGCATACCGACACCGCTGGTCCGAGCCTCCGGCCCTCAGTTTTATCCGGCAGCTCCTCCTTTTGGGGAACAACTCACCCCTGCCAGCCTGGGAAGCCTCCTCCGCCTTCCTCTTCCTCCTCTCCGCGCTCCTCCCCCTGGACGGTTTCATGTAAACAACACCCGAGCTATATTTACAATCACTTGACTAGAAAGGAACCGGGCCAGGAGTCTGAAGGAAAATAATAGTGCGCCACATTTTAAGAGGCACCACAACGCCCTCCGGAGCGGACGCTTCCCTTTTCCCCCGCACCGCCCCTCACCACCACCCTTCTTCTCCCCGCTCTCTCCAGCCCGCCGGTCAAGCGGTCGCCGAGCAAACCTCCCTCCTCAGCAGCATCCCTCCGAGGAAGACGGGTTATGCCAGGGATGGGACGGCTCCCCTCCGGTCCCGGGCCTCTCTCCGGTCTTGTATACCCGCCCCCCTCCTCCCCTACGCGAGCCCAAGAAAAAAGCAAAAGGCGAACCAATATCGGCTCCCTTTGGGGCAAAAGCGCCCGGAAGGTCGCCGGGATGCCTAGTAGTTAGAGCTCAGGGAAGCGCTCAAGCTCACAAAATAAAAACCCGGTCGCTCGCCCAGCTGCGGGTCGCGTTTATGAAAAGCGGGGTGGGAAGAGAGAAAGGAGGGCAGGCATCGACACCTCGCCCTGGAGCTTGCCGCCACGGCCGCCGCCCCTCCTCCCTGGGGCGAATAAAAGCTTTGCCCCCCCCCCTCTTGTCAAAATCCACCAACCTCTCGCAGGACTTTTCCCCGGGGCTCCGTGAGAGGATGGGGGTGGGGAGGGGGAGGTGGGAAGAAAAAAAAAAAGAAGAGTTGGGATGCCAACCCCGGTGCCCTGCAATAAACGCGCTCGCTCACCTCTCCGCCCCCCGATCCCTAATCGTCTCTTGCCCCCCCCCCCAATCCCCATCCCCCGCCCGCCCGTCTGCTCCCCGCGCGCTCTGGCAAAAAAAGTCTCTGCCCCTTCGCCCACCCACCTTTCCGGACGCGCTGCTTTTGCCCCCCGCGCTCTCTTCGTCTTTGTTCCTTAGCTTTCTTTGCGCGAAGATTATCTAATGACGCAGCGCAGAGTCGCCACAACGTGACTGTCGCCATTTTTCTGTTTTTATTGTATCTCTCTCTCTCGCACGCTGCCATGTGATAGAAATTTTAAAAAAAAAGAAAAAGAAGAAAAAAAAAAGAAACGACACGCCAACCACCCAACGCAGAAAGAGACGCGCTCACACACAAACTTCCGGGTTCCGTGACTGTGGGAGGCGGGTGTGGAATAAAAGGAAAAGAAAAAGAAAAAGAAAAAGAAAAAAAGAGGAAAGCCGGAGACGAGCGAAGTTAACTTGTGGGCGAGTCAGGACGGCGCGTCTTAAAAAAAAATCTCGCTTTCCTTTTCGCCGAGCCGGAGAGTATCGGGGGAACGCGGAGGCGACGCGCGTGGATAGGGTCGCCTGCACCCTCTGCCCCGGGGACTGTCTTGGATGTTTGGCGGTTTTCGAAACAGAACAGGTTCGACTTGATCCGACGTTTTGTGTGTGTGTGTGTATGTGGTTTTTTTTCATCTTCTTCATTCCGATCCGGAACGATTTCTGCAAACTTGTAACGGATTCGGACGATCGAAGGCGAGACTTTCCTGAATTGCAAATTCACTCCTGAGAGTGAAAATGGTTTTTTTTTTTTTTTGAGCATCTTTGGGATATTGAACTGGTTGGCGTTTGCGCTGCGTTTATCAGTGGGGATACTCCAGTCCAAAGAGTGAATGGTTGGCTACTGAAAAGCATAGCAACAGGGCGGAAGATAAGAAAGCTCTTCGCGAGTGGTTCGCTCGCACGAAAATCACAGACGTGCTAAATCTCTCCCAGAGCCACATTGGTCAGCCCGGCACCTGTTTAACACGTGAAAAACTTTCATACGCACGAAAAAATTCATTCTGACCTGCTCACCGATGATTCTTCTTTGGAGACTCCATAATTCAGCTTTAAACTTCTAAGGGCAAAAACACATATTCTGGTGTGAATGGGAATACTACGCATATTTATGGTGCTATAAAACCAGGCAATCCCAATTTTTTTCTTTTTTCTTTAGTTATATATCCAGATTAGAAATGGGAAGTGTTTCCACATTAGGCCTCAGGTATTAAACTTTTTTTAAAGCTGAATAACAGACCTTTAGCAAATGGGCTTGTAAAGCCCTTTCCTATACCTATTTATTTATTTAAGAAAAGCTGTACGGTTGCCCAATTCACTCTGCATGACTCCAGGAGGCTTACAAGGATAAAACCTCAATACAAAAAAAGAACACCTCACACACCCTTAGCAACAACAATTGGATGAGACACTTGATGGATTAAAATATTAAATATTTTAATACAATTATTCCATCCTGCTTTTTCACACTGATCAGTCTTTAATTCCTATTAATCAATCTACTTGCCTTTGTGTTGTTTTTAAGGTGCATGAAAAAGTTCCTAAAGAAATAATTCAAAAAGTTCCTAAAGAAATAATT